AAACTATTTTAGATGTTGTAGAAAATCTATTGTCTTTGACAATAACTGAAAGATTAATAGCTGAAACATTTTTTTTACCCTTCATAAGATATTTTAAGTTTTCACAGCTGTACTAATAAATTTCCTCTCCTTGGACAATAAACATCTGATGCGAAGTCGTTAAACGCTTGAAGTAGTATCTATGGGAAGGTTTGAATTTAAAATGCCATTGCGGAATGGATTTAAGATGATCTGTTGCTTCTTGTTTTCAGTAAATAATCTCTACATCGGTTCCTGGTCGTCTACTGATTGCATATTTTTGAATTATGTTAATATAGCCCTGAGAATTTTCGATAACTTGTTTCTTGAGTTCTCTTTCACAAAGACCAAATAAAGGGTCAGGTATTGTAAAGCAATGGCCCCTTACTGGGGAACTCATCTTCACTTCTTTCACATTCTCAGGAGCTTGCAGCAACCATCGTTGTAACAGTGCTAACATTGTTCTTCCGTCACATCCGTCAGCGAATAAATGTATCTTCTTAATCCCGGATAAATCCGCAGGCAGTGAAAAACACATGAAGCTACCTCATTTGAAGCTTTTAGATAGGTTCCTTTAGTTCCTACATAGCTAAAGCAATTGTCTCGAGATATTTTGCAGTGACAACTCCCAACAACAATAGAAAATTTGAACAGGTAAAGCTATTTGGAACAACCTCGTAGGTTAAATCGTTACATTTTTTTTCTTAGGGTGCTTGCAATTTGGCATCAAGATTGGTCCATGTAACGCAGTATATCGGAAAAAGAAAAAAACAACTCTACTGATATTACTCATCTATTTGAATAAGTAAAAATCTCATTTGTTTTTTTTTTCTCATATCTTAATTTCTTTGCAACAACTTTTTTTAGTAGAATTGGTATTAATCTTTCTCTTTCTCGCCTTTGATGGGGACACTCCTGCTGGTAATTGTTCCATATTGAATTAAATTAACAAGAGTACTTATAAAGCTTTGGTCAGTATAAACAATCTTCATTCATTTTTACACCAAATGATAGTCTCGTACTAAAATTGCCAGTGCATTACACAACCGATAAGAGACAACTTCTCTCATGTTGTGCTTAAATCGAGCTTGCTATTGGTTGCGGCGGACTTTGACTGTTTTGGTTTTCAAGCGCGTGCGACTTTATCTATTTTTCTTCCAAGCTATGATTTAAAGGACTAAAATGTATTCGACTTTATGTTTTTTTACAGTTATTTTGTATCATTTCAGTGGCCTATGTTTTGCCAAAAGTGAATTTTAACCGTTTTGCTTTTAAGCCTCTCAAATAATCAGAATGTTAATTTTTCTTAGTTAATTTTATTATTGCAATTAACAAATTGTTATCATAAATTATTAACGTTGAATGATAATTATTTATAAGTTAATGTAAACATTTTAAAAGATGTTAAAAATGACATTTTATAAAGAATTAACTCAATAAAAGTATGTTCATAAATCGTTGCGTGGATGCAGAACTAGCCTATGTCCATTTTTGGCCATTTTGATATTTTAAGTGCATTTGAAAGTAAAAGTACTTTTATATTGTATGCAGAAGTATCGTTAGTCCATCTTCACAGCTAGCGCTCCAATCGGTCACAACTCGAACTAGCCTATGTTCAGTAGCGCTGACTGTTTCAATGCAGAATCAGTCTATCCATAGAAAAATAAAAAGAGAAGCTTTGAATAAATGGCGGGCTTTGTTTCCTTGTTGGTAATTGAACCGTAAGCGCTAAGCGCGCTGCTATCACTAAATTCAAACCCGTTTTACAGCCATAAAAAATATGTTTTCAAAAATAATGACAAAGAAATCAATAATTTTACTGATTTACCTCTTTAAATTTCACTTTAATATAATGTGTGATCAAATACAGGGATAATCGTTAATAAATTTAAAGTTAAAGCTAAATTTAAATATTATTAGATGGTGTAAATCTGGCTTTGAAAATAAATTAGGTTATGTTGCTATAAATATGTCAGCCTGATATTATTTCCATTTTCAAATAAATGCAGGTGATACTTTTTTCAAATGTAGGTGAGTAAATTGTATTAATTAAGTATAAAATAGATTTAACTATAGCGAGGTTCTTATGAAAATCAATAACTTGTGATTCATTTAAATTTTAATTGCAGACGTAAGTATTTTTTTCACAAAACTAACAAGAAATTTTATGTTTTTCCTGCTATTATTACTCTTTGTCTTTGAAAGCAGTTGTGAGCAAAATGTGTGAAGCCAATTTACAAACAAATATTGTAGAACCTGAGATAAAACCTCATTTTAATTTTACTCATAAAGACCATGATGAAAAAAGGCGAATGATTTCTGCTCAAAAAGTTATTGTTGGGTGATATTCATTATTATATTTATCAAATAATACCCAAATATGTTCAAAAACTTATATGCTATTTAGGTCAACTTGTTAATTGTTGCATAGTTCACCTATTAAGATCATAAGTCAGATGTTTTCTATTTTTATTGAAATTTTTATACCGTGTATTGCAAGAAAAATGTAAGAATTTAAAAAAGTTATGACTCCTGTTAATTTTTAATTTTAAGATACACGCTGCACCTTTTATTTTTGTTTTGTTTTAGATATTCCTGGGTATGGAGATTTTTGGAATGTTCATAAATGTGTTTCTTAATTAGGGTGAGTTTCAAAGCCCACCTGTATTGAAGCTGACGGCTTATTGTACCCGAAATAGGCATTACAACTATTCTAGATTGAAATAGATAGGAAAAGGCCTTAAAGGGACAATAAGTATAAGAATATTAGAATTAGAATGATGTGTCCTTGGATTAATGAGGGTGCAACATTTTAAAAGTCTAATTATAAAATGTTATTTTAAATGTGTGCCATCCGGTATAATTCAATTATCGCCAACACACAATATTCTAAAGAAAGGGAAATCTCAAATTAGATTTGTAAATTTCATTTTAATATTACGTTTTGATCGTATCGGTGGTGCCTTGGCTGTTATAGTGGTAAGCATAAAAAGTATAATATCTTTATTAAATATCTCAGTAGAAATATTATTCAAACCTTTTGTTAATTATTAGTTTTTTTAATAGTAAAGTTAAATATATTATTATGATTCATTCTGGTTGCTAGAACGGCACAATATGTATAGTCACTAGTTTTTATTATTTATTGGTTCATTTTTTTAAAAAAGTAGATGTTTCAAATTTATATATCGTACAGAGCCACGTGAAAAACAAAATCTATTTTTGTCTAGAAAACGAATGGAATCAGCCATAAAGCCATAACTCAAACGACATAACTCAACTGCCATAAATCAACCACTGTAAACCACATGCGGTAATCTGAACGTTGGTTCCCGAGGAGCAGAAATCTCTTGATCGAGCTGAGTTAATTGGAAAAGCGACAGCTACAACTCGAAGCTTACTAAGAAGAAAGAGTAACAGACAAAGGCGTTGGTTTCCGAGGGGCAGAAATCTCAACTACCTATGGCTATCTATGAAGTGGCTAGCAAAAAAGAAGCAAAAATGTGGTAATTACTAGTGACTAAAATTATTTATGTACGAATCTAAATTGGATACCTGATAACTGTAAATAATTTGTTTTCCGAACGGTTTCCTGTTTTTTCAATAAAATCAATAATTTTTATAAGTATATATGTTGAATCTTATTTTTTTAGAGGATACAAAAATTCTCTTTCTATATATTCTAAATTCTATATAATTTTTATTAACTTCTTTTTATTGATAAAGCTAGAATTTATAATTCACACTAGCTTTTAAAAATAAAAAAGAGAATTATTGGTGCCCAACATTTCCAAGAGAAATTACTACCCTTAAAATTGTCTATTTGAAGAGCCGAATTCACGACAGAGAAAAGTATGTGCTCATTTATTTTTTTAAATTTTTAAGGTATAACATTTGCTATTAAATTTCACTGAGCTAGTAAAAATCTCTATAAGTGTTTTGAAATTACATTTATCAAAAAGTTAACGAATAATATTACAAAATAGCGGGCAAAGTATCAGGGTAATATTGCAAATTGGAGCCCAACGTAGCAATATAATATTGCAAGGGATATTTAAAGCATTAAAACAATTGTGTTTATAAATGAACTACTTTGACTTTTTATAAAAAAAACTATATCCGGTTTTTTTTAATAATAAAAACATTGTCATGTGTTAGGCTGGTTATCATATTATATTTTTATTTTTCAGTAATTTAGTGTGTAATATAGTGCTTGTTATGTTCAAAATATGCAGTTAGAAGATAATGAGACACATGTAATTACATGGTAATTCTAAATAAATTAAACTTGTTTAAAATGTGTTTTATTTTTGAACTTATTTTATTTTTCAGTTAAAACAAGTGACATTTTCCATTTTTCAACATTTACCTGCAACAAAAATTCACTAAACTTATTGTTTGTTTAGTAGTTGTAAGTAAAAGTTGTCAAATAGGAAAATGTTACTTCAAATTGCTTCAAATATCTAAATTATCAAGCCCGCCAATTTTTAAATCGATCTAATTAGTAGTGTTCTACTTTATCGACTGAAACTGACAGGTGCAGTTCAACCGTAAGCGCTTAGCGCGCTACTGTCGAGGTCAAGCAAACTTGTTACCAACTATTTACATGGAATCCGACCCCCGTGAGTCTATCTACGACCACCGTCACGATCGCGTCTATCTCGGCCAGATTAAGTGGACATAGGCTAGTTCACACTAGTATGCGGTGGACATAAAATAGCAATTCAAGTACAAAGGTTTATTTGCGTTTTGCTTAATAAGAATCACTATTGTTGATCCAGCCACAAATTATTAAAGATGAACTCAAGAAGTGCAAAAATACTTCAGTCGCTTAAAGGGAAGGAAAACAAATGCATAGATAAGAAAATTTATTGTTCGTTTGCTCGCGTTTTATTTTATTAAAATAAACCTTAACTAAATTATTTTATCAATAAAGTTTTGCTGAATATTTGTAATGGAAACAAACTTTTTTGTTATTTCAGATAAAACTTTAAATTCAACCGCCAATGATGAAGCGCTACCTTTAAATCACGCTGTTATGTCAATGGATTCGACCAACTTAGAACCACAAGGTAAAGTCACGTGTTTGCTGTTTTATTTGATCTTTTTTTTTATTTTTATCCTATTTTTCAACACGGGCTTCTTATTCCGGATCATTATTTTAATTAATCATCAAACTATATTGTGTGCATGCCTAATTTTTTTCCAAATGAGAATTTGTTGGATATTAAATTTGTTATAAGAAAAATTATTATTGTTTCAGATAAAACTCCAGCTCCAGAGGCCAATTATGGTACGGTACCTCCTGAACATGCTGTTAGGTTAATAGATTCTGCCAATATAAAATCACCACCCTACCTACATTTGAAGGAAACTTTAACATACTTTAATGATCAGGCATCGAAAACATATGTCGAGAAATATTTTTCAACCCGCCAAGCAACACTAACTGCGATGTATATCGTGAAATATCACCCAAAATTTGTTCGAACGACCCTGTGGTTCCAAAAGTAGAGGATCTAACAAATTAGTTAATCAGAATAATAATATATTGGAAAACGATTTATACAACATTTCATCCTCTGACACTGACCCTTATGTTTCTAAAAATGACGAAAATTATCCCGAATTTATTTTGTCAAATGAGGAAGGTTATCAAGAAAAGAAGTATTAAAAAGAACGTCCCGTAAAAGAAAAAGAAATCTAAGTGCCTGGAGAAAAAATATATAATAAAGGCATCTCGAAATAGCGAAAAGGAATATAAAACCTGAAGAGAAAAACTACAGACATCCCGGAAAATGAAAGACTCATGTAGTTGTAAAATGAAATGTAAACAAAACATTTCTGAAGATGAAACACAAGAGATATTTATTCATAATGGGAATCTTGGAGATATAAATAGATAGTGAGATTACATTTCAAAATTAGTGCAACGAAAGGACAAAGAAAGAACAAGGTTTAAAAAAAAAGAATATAAATATTGCTCCAGAGAGAGATGAAGAATCGCCTTCCCCAACACATCAGAGTAGAAGAACTTTTACCTACAATTATTCTTTCATAAAGAATAAAATCAAAGTACCTGTTTGTAAGATTTTTTCCTAAATACTCTATCTGTAAGTGCTTAGGTTATTAAAACCGCGTTTAATAAAACTGGTTCCACTGGTGTAGTTTTCAAAGATCGAAGAGGAAAGGCATGCAAAAACTCGTTACTTAATGAATCTATGAAGGAATCAGTTCGAGACATATAAATTCATTTCAGACAGTTAAAAGCCATTATTGTTGATAAGAACACAAGTATTAGAAATTGAAAATTTAAAAAAACCGACTTTAAAAACGTGCAGATGCCGTCACCACATCTTATCTAAATTTATATGGGGCCACCCTTGAGAAATCATATAAATATGACAAGGTGGTAAGGCATTATCCCTAAACATACATGAACAATTAAGAGTTTGAGGAATTTCTCATGGACCCAATAATTAGATTTTGACCAAATTTATATATGACCATTCCTGAAGTACCCCCTTTCTAACAAAAAAAGAATAATTAAAATCGGACACCGTGTTAAAGAATTATCGCAGAATATACATTAAAAAAAATATATATAAGTCGGTTAAAAAATACAAAGCGTATTTACCCACAGATCTTAATATTTCCAAAATGTATTCCTTGTATCAAGAATACTGTATCAACAGGAATATTACTGAAGTAGCAAATAAAAGTGTATATAGGGCTGTGTTCAACTCCGATTTTAATATGTCATTTTTTCGGCCAAAGAAAGACTTTTGCACGGATACGAACAATCGTCAGCTGAAGAAAAACTAGCAGTGGAAGAAACGTATCAACTGCACTTGAAAAACAAGAGTTTGGCCGGATAACTCAAAGATGCAGAAAAAGAAATAGTTTAAGAGAATCGGCAGATTTGTTGTGCAGTTTTCGATTTGCAACAAATATTTCCAGTCCCAAAGTCCCGAAGTTGGATTAGCGTATTATAAGCTAAGATTATCAACTTATAACTTTACCATTTTTAATCTGGGCAATAAGGAATGTTATTGTTATATGTAGTAAGAGACTATTGGCAAGAGAGGTTCTTCGGAAATTGGCAGTTGTCTTTTGAATTTTATAAAACACCATATTGAAAAAGGAGTGAATGAGTTTTCATTTTTTTCCGACAATTGCGCCGGTCAAAATAGAAATAAGTACTTGTTTTCCCTATATAACTACATAACTCAATCATATAAAGTAACAATCTGTCTCAGCTTTTTGGAATGAGCCCATACACAAAATGAGGAAAATTCTATTGATAGTGTGATTAAGAGGACATCCCGTACGATTCCAATCTTTTCTCCCGTTCAGTGGTACACATTTGTCAGAACTGCCAAGAAAGAAAACCCTATAGTGTTGATAAACTGGAGCAAGAACACATTTTTGATTAAGAAGGTGTTTTAGAAAGAACTTCCATCAATTGGGACAAGGATGAACATAATGAAAAAGTGTACTGGAATAAATTAAGAATTCTACAAACCAGGCCGGACTATCCAAATATGTATTTGTTTAAGGTAGTTCACTCGCGACAGTCGTACACAAAAATATCGCCCTATAGTGAATACCAACCGTTCGAGATTCTTAAATCTAAAGAAAGGTTATTTTTGTAACAGACTGTACACACAACACATGTGATCCTATATACAAATATGGTATTATATCGCTTAAAATCCATCCGGCAACGTCGTAAATATATTGTGAAACGTCAACTGTATTCCTAAAGTGAAATAAATGTAAATATCAAAATGTTTTATTGTCAGGATCAATTAATTGCGAGATAAAGGAAAATTTGTTAAGCAGAACGTCCTCAACAAACGCAAAAAATCAATTTTGACTATGAATTATGCAAAAAAATTGAGAAAGGAAACCCCAAGCTTGAAAAATAACCTGTGCAGTGGTCGCATCGTGGAATTACTAGAGTTGGGAAAACATTTAAAATGTTGCTGGTGTGAAAGAGTTCTTTCTCTTGAAAATATTACAAATGAAACACGAAAGGGCCTTTATTTAATTTAAAATGTTAAATGTAATGAATGTAATATTGAAACTATGGTACGTACGGACAAAGTTCATTCAACAAAAAGTGAAGTTAAGCATTCAGATGTCAACACTAAAGCAGTTCTAGGTAAATTTAAAAAAAAATACATAAGTATTTGTTATGTTTATAATTTTTTTATTATAATTAATATAATTTTATTTATTTAAAGGTGCTGTCCATTCAGGGTTTGGTCAAACTGCTTTAAATAAATTTCTTGCTGTCATGAACGTTCCTACCATATCATCAATACTACAGAAAATCATAACTTTTATTTGTATTTTTTTATTACTTCCTCATACTAATAAGTTTAAATTTTAAATTACTTTATATTCATTTTTTTTGTGTAACTGTATTTTATTTTGAAGGCATGTTTAAATAAAATTATATTCATCTTTTGCATATTTATTTAATTTTGAAGACATTTTTAAATACAATTAAATTTAAATTGTTAAATCATATTAACCTAAAGTATAAACAACGTCCCTTTCCCAGAAGGCCTCGATAAAGTGATAAACTTGACCTGTCCGCGGCAATAAAAAGATTGGGAAGCACTGATCTAACAGATATTTGAATTAGCGGGCGTTGAGTGTATCGATTACAACGTTGCAAGTTGTAATCACAATACGCCACTATGCGTCGACTGCTTTAAGAACATTTTTTATTTTAAAAATCTATATTTCTTTATCAAAACGGTAAAAAAATTTAGCGTTTTTTTAGAAAATTTTATAACTTCTTGATTTATATTACATTAGTTTTTAAAAATATGGTAAGAACCGTTTTCGAGATATCTTGAAATAACTGCAATGATTGTGTACATGACAGGGCTTCAAGAGTGTAAATTATGCACATTTTGATTGTTAATATCTCGTTTTACAGACGGTCAAAAATTTTTATTTTTTTTTAGGTACATAAAAGACTCTTTCATAAACCTTATATTTCAATTTTATTGAATTCTTAAGAAAGGCCGTTTTACGAGTGAACTACCTTAAATACAAGTTTAAGATATCGAATTCAAAAAAATTAATTTGACCGAAAAAGGTAAAAAGAAAATCCAAATTAATATAAAAGATACTGAACTGCAGCAAAAGTATATACAAAAAATTCCATTAACCAAAAATAAATACGACCACTTACAATTTCCTTGCCAGAAAAAAGTTATTCCATGTCAATATCATGATTCAGCCCAAGATTCAGACAGTGATTTTTAAATATATAAATGTATACTTTTAATTATAACAAATTAACTCTAAACATAGAGAAAACTAAATATGTCATTTGCATCATACTCTCCTGGACTTCCAAATTTTGGCCCTCTACTCATAGACAATAATTTAAAAATTCCAGAAACAGAAAAAATTAAATATTTAAGACTAATTGTTGACCGTCATTTAAAATGCAAACTAAATATGTTACCCAGAAGTTAAGGGGATTTCTATCAAAATTTAAATACTTAAGAGAATTTCTAGATTTAAATCATTTAAAAATATTACATTATTCATTAATACAATCACATCTTAATTATGGAACTATTGGGTGGAGAGGAGTCAATGACTGTCACTTAGAAAATTTAAATGTAATTCAAAAATGGATTATTAGAATAATTTATAAAAAAAATATATTGTTTTCCAGTAATGAGCTTTATAACATTAGTGATTTCATGGATGTAAGACAAATTTATTGTCTAAAAATATTTTTATATTATCAAAAAAATAAAAACAAGTTATAACGTCTAGCACATATCCATGACACAAGAAACAAAGAAAGAACGTATAACTTACCTAAGCGAGAGAAAACTATAGGTCAGCGCTGTTTTGACTACTTGGGCCCAAAACTTTTTAATCAAATCCCAGTTGATCTACAAAATATGTCCCAATTAGGCTATTTTAAAGCAAAAATGAATATATGGATGAAATCAAAAAATAGAGACATTTTCCACAACATTGTAAATCATTTTTAAACAAGGAATATATTCAAAATAATTAAAACATTTTTCTTATTAATATAATTTTTTTATTATTATTGTTGTTGTTATTAATATTATTAATTATTACAGCTTCTGTGATTATAAATTGTTTGTTCACATTTTTTTATTATTATTGTATTTTTATGTATTCTTTTATGAATAAACATTATTATTAGTTCTTATTTATGATATATTTTCTAGTTTTATTTGCTTCATGTTTCAACACAGAAATAATTTTTTGTGCTTAAATACAATATACTTGTTTACTTTTAAGACTCATTAAGTTATGTTTGATTAACTTTCTTATTTCATTTCCATTTGTTTGATGTTTGAACACAAAAATAATGTTCTTTGTTCGTTTTTTGTGCTTAGATCCTTAACTACATACTTGTTTACTTTTAGGTGTCATTGAGTTAAGTTTGTTTTATTTCCTGTTTCCGTTTCCATTTATTTCATGTTTCAGCACAGAAATAATGTTCTTTGTCTCCGTTTAACTTAATAAAATAGAGTAAGCTCTTTTTCGACAAACATATTTTAAAAAATTATTATTTTTATTTAAAGAAATTATACCTACCTTTTACATGATTAGATTTTAATAAGTTATGAATGAATCAGAATTAGCCTAAGTACTTTTATTAAGGAATATTCTATGTCCAAATTTGGACATAGACTAC